AGACTCTTATACCATTATATATCCTATGCTACTTCTGTGTAACTTTTGTATCTGAAAGCAATTGATCAGAAATCAATCGTTTTGTAGATTGCTGTATACATATTTGAGGATAGCTGTATAAATATTTCAGATACAAGTTAAAAAAAACTATTTCAAAAAATTCTTCCGTTGGCTTTGTTGTCAGACGTGTTTTTCTAGGGCTGGAGATCAAGCCCAGGGCCTTGTGATGTAGCACCCAGCTCCATCCCAGCCCGTGTCTTTCTTACGTGGCACTGAGAGCACACTGCTTCTCCGAAAAGTCCCGGTGATGTGAGCCGCCACTTTCTGAGGTCCTCGTTCTCTCATTAAAGAGGGAGAGCCGTATTGCTTTTCTAAAAGAGACAACACAGCACTGTCAAACTCATTCTTGAACATGGCACAGTTCCCAGCTATTGCAAATTAGGCCTTATCAGCACCTATTTCCTATGCTACTTCTGTGTAACTTTTGTATCTGAAAGCAATCAATCAGGAATCAATCATTTTGAAGATTGTTGTATACATATTTGTAGAGAGCTGTGTAAATATTTCAGATAATAGTTAACAAGTTATTTCAAAAAAATTCTTCCACTGGCTTTGTTTGTCAGACTTTGTCGTCAGAGTTGATTCCATGAGAGCCACAGAAAAACCCATATTTTAGTACAATAATCAATGTAATTTAATTTATGTCTAGTTTGAAAAGTACTGTAGATAGAAAGAATGGTAGTAATATGTATTATAAGTTATCAGCATCATAGAGGTAAGCTCCAAATAGAGTAGAACAAAGTGAAGCTTCTGAACACTTTCAAAGAAAGAAAGAGGAAAGGAAAGAAGGAATGAAGGAATAAAGAAACTGTAGACTTGTAATAATCCTGTGAAGCAGTTCAGAGTGTGCAAATAACCAAGTATTGGCAATGTTTTACTTTACATATATTTAGAGCATGGCACCAATGGCTCATGCCTATAATCCTAACTACTCAGGAGGCTGAGATCTGAGGGTTGCAGTTTAAAGACAGCACAGGCAGGAAAGTCCATAGACTCTTATCTCTAATTATCAGAAAAGCTGGGAGTGGAGCTGTGGCTCAAATGCAAGAGAGTGCTAGTCTTGAGCACAAAAGCTCAGGCCCTGAGTTTTAGCCCCAGTACCAGCACACACACACACACACACACACACACACACAGAGAGTTATATTTAGAAAAAAATAGTGATACCAATTTTTATCATCTCCACTATCTTGCAAGCTACTGATCCATGATAAACCATTGTCCATAAATGCTGTAACATCCACAGTCACCCAACATTCCCTCCATTGCCACAAAAAGAACAGGGATTGGCATGCTGGTTATAGAATCCAATGTATGAGTAAGTAAGTTGCTTACAACAGAGCATAAATGAACAAGTAAGATTATCGACATCATCCAAAGTACCATAGAGTAACTTACAAATACAATAAAGTTCTCTCTTTAATAAATTAGCTTACACCAGGCACCGGTGGCTCACGCCTGTAATCCTAGCTACTCAGGAGGCTGAGATCTGAGGATTGTGGTTCAAAGCCAGCCTGGGCAGGAACATTTGTGAGACTCTTATCTCCAATTAACCACCAGAAAACGGGAAGTGGCGCTGTAGCTCAAGTGGTAGAGTGCTTGCCTTGAACCGAAGAGCTCAGGGACAGGGCCCAGGCCCAGAGTTCAAGCCCCACGTCAAACCAAAAAAAAAAAAAAAATTAAATTATATTCAAGAAGACGTCTCTCTATATCATACAGGCCTACATGGAGTAGCCACTGACTTCACTGAGTGAGGAAGGCGGGCATGGATAGGAGAAAGACATTCCTACACAGCCTAAGCAGAGGCCAGAGGTAGGCGGCACAGCGCAGCCTGGGACAGGGCCTTACAGGATTCAGGTCTAGACTCAGGGAGAAGCCAACACAATGGAGCTCTAATGTTAACCTAGAGACTCACAGAACATGTTGTTCAGGAAAGCAAAGAGATCCACGTTCCACATTAGGCCAGTTTCTTATGTATAGGACGGCTCACGGGATAGATGGCGGGAGGGCCATGTGATGGCAGAGAAGGAATAGTTAGGCTAACAGGTGAGTGTAATTGGTCAGGATCAGAGCAGTCGGCCTTCATCTAGGCTGACAGCACAAGGGACCAAAAGGAAGTGGGACTTTTTTATTGAATAAGAATGAATGGAAAATGAGAAATCTCTTTCCTCAACCTGGCGTTACTTATAAATTATTATCATTATTATTGTTGTTGTTGTTGTTGCTGTTGAAGCAAATTCTCCTCAAAGCAACAATCTCTTGAGTGAGTAACTGAGAAATTTGATAAAACTGTAGAGTTAGAGATGGGGTAAGAAAGATGAGGATAAATCATTAGTGGGGGGGATGATAGACAAATGGACAGAGCAAATCCTTCTGAGAAGGTGGAAAAAGTTAAACAATACATGCTGGCCCTCCTGCCATTTCACTCATCCAGGTTCCAGACCCTTCAATAGAGCAAAACTGCTTCTTTTTTTTTTAAAGTTGTATTGCTGAACATTAATTGTACAAATTGATGAGTTTCATTATGACACTTTTATACATACATAAATACACTTTCATTACATTTACCCACTCTCGTTCTTTCCTCTCCCCAAATAGTCCCTATTCTACTTTCACATCTTTTGGAGGGTGGGGGGAGGAACAAGATTCCACACATGGAAGAAAACATTTGATATTTGTCTGTCTGAGCTTTAGTGCTCCATCCTTATTTCTTAAAAATGATAGCATTTAATTATTTGTTCATGCTTGTATAATGTTGCATTGTGTGTATGTGTGTGTGTATGGGTGAGTATGTATCACTTTATTTGTTTGTCTGTTGACAGTCACCAACGCTGATTTCATACTTGACTATTATGAGTAGTTCTGTGAAAAGCACAACTATGCATTACCTTTCTTGTGTGCTGATTGAGATTCTGTTGGATCTGGACCCTGGGATGGTGTAGCCTGATTATGTGGAAGTTCTATTTGTTGTTGTTGTTGTTGGTTGTGGGGCTTGAACTCTGATCCTGGGCACTGTTCCTCAGCTCTTCAGCTCAAGGCTAGCACTCTCCCACTTAAGCCACTGCACCACTTCTGGTTTTCTGAGTGGTTAATTGGAGATAAGAGTCTCACAGACTTTCCTGTCCAGGCTGGCTTTGAACCACGATCCTCAGATCTCAGCCTCCTGAGTAGCTAGGATTACAGGCATGAGCCACCAATGCCTGACCTAATTTTAATTTTTGAAGACCCTCCACACTGATTTCCATAGTGGCTGAACTAATATAAAGTCCCATTTACAGTGTGTAAGTGTTCCTTTGTCCTGTATCCTTGCCAAAATTGGTTCTTTTTTTTTTTTTTGTCTTCTTGCATAAGGTAGAATCTCTGTGTGGTTTTGATTTGCATTTCCTTTATGGCTAAGGATGCTGAACATTTTTTCATGTATTTATCAGCTATTTGTGCTTCTTTTGACAACTACATATTCAGTTCATTTGCCAGGTTATCAGTTTGTTAGTTCTTTTTGTACCAGTCCTAGGGCTTGAACTCAGGGCCTGGGTACTCACTGTTCCTTAGCTTTTTTGCTTAAGGCTAGTGCTCCACCACTTGAGCCACAGTTTCAATTCTGGCTTTTTGTGGAGATTCAGTTAGTGGCTTGAGACAGTGAATGACATAGCCCATAGTCTGGATTGGGGCAGAGAAGGAGAACAGAAAGCCATGCACCCTGCTCTGAGGTCAGTGGTAGCAAATTAAGATAACAACAAAAAATGACTACCTTGAATTGCAGGAGTGGTTTCCTCAAAGGTTCTCAAAACCATCTGCAAACAGTATTGAGTAAGCTTGTTAATACATGTTTTACTTATGACAGCATACCTATAGCTCTTCTTACTGAAGTCTAACAGTTGCTTCTGTATAGCTGTGTGCGGTGGGTGATCCATTCCCCACCTTTACTTCTAGGTTGGTCATGGAACAAGTGGGTTTCTGGGGTACCCAGGTAGATAAGATTTCATTTCCTATGGAAATAGCATCACAGGATACATCTGAGTTCTGCTCCATAGACCAGGAGCAAACAGAGCAAAATACAACGGCTATCAGAATCATATCTGCCTCCTCCCTGGGAGAGAGGAGATACCTACCAATGCTGGCCTGTGTGGGGTTTCCTAATTTATACAGAATGACCTTTGTGGGAGAATAAAAGACAACTATTTTTAAACTTTATCTTACAAAGAAGGAAGCAGCCAGAGGCTGTTTTGATTTGATCTAAAAGTAACATTATACAACCATATTTCGTAAAATCAAATGCAGTATTTTGGCCAGAGATCCTATTTTAACAACTTCCATAAACCGATAGTCTTTGTGTGGATGTGGGTACTGTGGCTTGAACTCAGATTCACAGTTAGCTTTTTTCCTTCAAGACTGGTGCTCTACCACTTAAGCCATGCCTCCAATTCTTGCTCTCTGCTGGTTAAGTATAGCTAACAGTCTCATGGACTTTCCTGCCTGGGCTAGCTTCAAATTGTGTTTCTCAGATCCCAGCCTCCTGATTAGCCTTATAATTTGTCATTTTACTGACTAAAGTTCCCAAATTGTCTCATTTCCCTTTCTTCTTCTATGCATACAAAAATAAAGTTGCATTTACTTCCAGAGATCGAGGAAGAAGATAAAACACCAGCTTGTCCCCTTTTGTTTTCTAAGTGCAAACAAAAATCACACCCATCCTTTATTACTAAGAATCCTTGAACACTTTACCTTGTTTCCTCATAAAATAAAAAGGCTTAGATGAGGGGGTATAAGTCTGGATTATGTGTATGACTATGAAATCTGAAGAACTTGCTTCAACACACTGGGCCTCTGTTTCCTTATTTACAAAATGCAAAGTCTACACTAGATATAATTTTCCTCTGGCCAGATACACTGCTGATGAGATGACCCACCTTTCTAGTAAAGTGCTCCAGTCGCTGCTTTACCAGCCAGCATGGACTGTTCATTGCTCCTTCATTGCCGGAGCTCCAAGGGACAGCTTCCTCTAAAAAGCAAGCCGTGATACTTTCGGAGTACTTCTCCTGCATCTGCGGGGAAAAATAAAACAACATGATGCCCACATACTTTTTCTGCTTGCTTGCTTCCTTCCTTCCTTCCCTTTCTCATGCCAGTTCTGGGGTTTGATCTCAGGGATTTCAGTCTCACCTGGCTTTTTTGCCTAAGGCTGGTACTCTACCACTTGAGCACAGCTCTACTTCTAGCTTTGTGCCAGTCTTATAGACTTTCCTGCCCAGGCTGGCTCTGAACTACAGTCCTCAGATCTCAGTACCTAGGATTACAGGTGTGAGCTTCCAGTACCCAGTACCCAGCCTTTTTCTCTTTACACAAGTGGAAGTGACAACAGCAGACATGAACCAGAGAATCAGACTGAGTTTTGCTACTGTGGATAAATCCATGCTGTCTGTGAATGAGAAACGCCATGCTACCCTTCATCCATTGACTACAAGAAAGCAGGTGGGTATAGGGGAAGGGTATAGCTGTGGGCCAGGCATGCCAGTGGACAGTGACCTCTCTGCCCTACCTCTCACCAGCTCCCCATCCCTCTTGCTCTCCTCTTCTGCCTGTGAACTGCCTGCAGTGATGTCTGAGGTCTCTTCCAGCTCTAACAAGTGTGAATCTATCTCACCCTAAAGCTAAAACACAACTAAATACCATGCAGGCAATGGAGACAGCTTAAATGCTAACATCTTCAATACAGCCTGTGCAACCTTTTGCAGCAGAGGTGATGTTCTGGTGTGTGTGTGTGTGTGTGTGTGTGTGTGTGTGTGTGTGTGTGTGTGTGTGTGTGTGTCTTATACTGGGGCTTGAACTCAGGGCCTGGGTGCTGTCCCTTATCTTTTCTTGCTTGGAGATAGTGCTCTATAACGAGCTACAGCCCTACTTCTGACATTTAACTGGTTAAGTGGAGATAAGAGTCTCATAGGCTTTTCTGCCCAAGCTGGCTTTGAACTTCAATCCTCAGATCTCAGCCTCCTGAGTAGCTAAGATTCCAGGTGTGAGCCATCAGCACCCAGCAGAATGTCCTGTTTCTTAGTTTTCCCTCTGGCAGCTCAGTAAGTTCTAGCAACAAATGTGATTTCTCTTCCTTTGAGGGCAGTGGCAACTAGATAGGCTGCCCCTGGAACTTGGCATGGGGCTCAACAATTAATTATCCATACTCCCTAGTGACTTGCCTGCCAGAAACTCTGCATACCATTGTAAGGTTTTCCTCTTGCTAGAAAGTAAGCATTTGTAATAGCTCCATTTCTGTCAACAAAATCCTAACTCTCATAAACAAACACTTGCTCGGCTCCCCTCCCCTGCCACAAGCACACATTCAACACATCTTAACTAGGGCAGAACTCCTTTTATTATTATTATTTATTATTTTTTATACTTTTAGAACTCCTTTTTTCTACCAAAGGAAATTTGAATATTTACAATGTCATTCTCAGGCTATACAAAATGGTCAATAGAGGTCAACGGGTTCTCAGGCAGCCACGGAGAAATAGACCAGAAGCAGTTATGCAGGTACAGTGGCCCACACTTGTAATCCTAACTACTCTGGAGGCAGAGATCTAAGGATGGAGTTGAATTGGAACAATCAAATTCACATGAGGTACATGGCATGCATTTCCCTAACAGACAAGTGACACTCTCTGACTTTTGTGTGGGGATAGGCAGTACTGGACTTGAAGGGCCTCAGGCTCTTAATTAGCTTTCTCCCTTAAGGCTAGAGCTTTACCACTTGAGCCACACCATCACTTCTGGCTTTTTGGTGGTCAGTTGGAGATGAGAGGCTCAGGGACCAGCTGGCCTCCAGCTGTGGGCCTCAGATCAGCCTTCTGAGCAGCTAGGATTACAGGCACCGACATGAACTCTTGTTCCTAGTAGTCAGACCTGCATTTTTAGCAGAACCATCCCTGAGCAAAGTAGAAATTTGATTTGCTGTCATATCTACAGGAAACATCCAATGCTGAGTATGGAACTTGAAAAAGTTCAAATAACTTCTACAGGAACCATAAAATGCTAAGTCTAGAACTTGGAAATGGCTCAAATAGTGGCTTTATTACAGGCGTTGGCTGTGGTACACTCACCATGTCCAAGGAGAAGGTACAATGTCAGCCCTTTGCACTCAGACAATTGCCAACCCAGAGCCACCTCAGCAATAGACCCAAAGCATACATCAAAGATCTGCTTATATTTCCATGACCCACAGGTGCAGACGGAAAAGAAACCTGATATTTCAAGACTGAATCTGATCTCAGTTTAACTGCTAGATTGGGAAAGCTCGGCTTGTGGATGTGAAGTTTTTTTCCCCCTATTTATTTAATCATATTTAAGAGAATCTCAACTGTGGTTCAAGTGAAAGAACCCCAGCCTAGCAAGTGAAAGCCCTAAGTAAGCTTACTGCCTGGTACTTAACCCAGTGACTGGACAAAGAATATGGTGTGTGTGAGTCTGGGGGGTGGGGAGAGAAAGAGAGAGAGAGAGAGAATAAAGAAGAATGGAATTATAGCATTTGCAATAAAATGGATGGAATGGGAGATTATCATGTTAAGTGAGATAAACTGAGCTCAGAAAGATAAATAATGCATGATTTTCCTCATATGCAGAATCTACATTTGAAATAATGACATTGTTAGCATTATCCCCACCGCTGGTCCTCAGCTCCACCCAGACCTGGAGTTCCGGCCATACAGCTGGCCACTCTTTCTCTTTGCCCAGACCCACCTGTTCACACAGTTACCTCACTACCTGCCCCCAGACCCACTAGCCACTTGGATAGGGACAGACGCCATGTGCTTCCTTTCCCAGGAAATATGGCCCCTCTAATAAACCGTATAATCTTTCTCCTGTGCCTGCCTGCCTCCTCTTGGTCTCCTAGGATGGTTGTGAAGAATTACAAACATGACTGGAAAAGGGGGGTCTGCTTGGGAGTGGGGCACCAGCAAGTGGGGAGAGTGAGAAAGGAGAGTGTGTTGGGAGTGAATATTACAGGGTGTATATGTATGAATTGTATATGCTACATGAAAATATAAGTGTATGAAGCCACTGAAAGCTGTTAAGAAAAAAAAGGAGGGAGGAGGGTCTAAGATATTTAGTATCAATGGGGAAATTATGTTGTAAATGTCACAAAGAAACCTCTTTGTGGATACAGGTGGACCCATTGTGCCGGGTACAAGTCGTTATGTGGAAAACGAACTTTACAACTTTGGTGGGGGGGGAGGGGGGAGGATTAGGTGTAGGGGGAGGGGAAGGGATGGGAAGAGGAAACAAAGAAGGAGGCTACAATGCTTGATAAGAAATGTACTCATTATCTTGCCCATGTAATTGTAACCCCTCTGTACAGTATTTTCACAGTAAAAAAATTAAAATTAAAATTAAAAAAAAGAAACCTCTTTGTACAGTGAAGTGTTAAAAACTTTCCAGGCTCATGACTATCACTAATGGCTCATGCCTGTAATCCTAGATACTCAGGAGACCATCCGGGGCAGAAGAGCCCTTGAGACTCCATCTCCAAAATAACAAAAAGTAGGACTGGAGGCATGGCTCAAGTGGTAGAGACCAAGCAGAACAAGCTTGAAACCTTGGATCTAAAACCCAGTACTAGTAAACAAAACAAACAAAACAATCGGAAGCAAAAAGAAAAAAGGAGCATAACTCAGACAGCACTCACAAGCAGTGCCATTGCTAATACTGCAAATCACAGATCATTTGAAAGACAAAAGCCATAACCATCCTCAGGCCTTTCAGCTGCACTTGGTCCTCACAATCCTGTAGTCTACCCACAGATCCACAACAAAACTTTCCAAAAAGAGCAGGCTGAGAACCGAGGAAAGAGAGATGACTGCATTGTACTCACCTGCTTCAGCTCATTGGAGAAGTATATGTATGTCACAGCCACAGAGAAAGCCTGCAGGACTACCTGCAGGAGTATGGAGAAGACGAGAATGAGCCCAAACGTCTGCCTGAGGCTGGGGTCGGCTGGGGGCCGCAGGGACGCCATGATCTTGCCTGTGCCTGTCTCCCAGCGAGTCATTTGCAGGGATGAACTTCTCTTTAGTTTAGTTTCCTGACCAGGAAATGACCAGCGCCACCACCACACACACGCGCACACGCACACACACACACACACCCCTACAGAAAAACAAAACAGAAAGTTCATCCCCCAACGATTCTAAATCTAGTATTTACACAAGAGAGGGAGCAGATAAACACTCCTTAAATAAACGCATTAAGTCCAGCCAGCTTCTTGCTGCGCTGCATAGACCCTGGCACAATCTGAGCAGCTTCAGGCTAGACCAATGTGGTGCTATCTTCCCCTCCCCACACCGGCTTCCAATTTCTGAGGAGCAGGAATGGCTGCATTTGTTTTTTATACACCACTCCCCTCCCCCTCCCCCACAGCAAGCCAGAGCTATATAGTACTTAGAACTTTACAGCTTTCCTGGATCCTCCATCTGTTTTAATGATATTTTCTAAGAAGATTTAGGGAATTTACTATTTGGCAAAAAGATACATGCTTTCTACTATTCACTGTTGACAAGTCATTCATTTTGATAGGACCAGAGGGAATTTGTTTTTTTTTGGGGGGGGGTCCAGTCGTGGGGCCTGAACTCTGGGCCTGGGCACTGTCACTCAGCCCTTCAGCTCAAGGCTAGCACTCTACCACTTGAGCCACAGCGCCACTTCTGGCTTTTTTTCTTTTTGCTTATGTGGTGCTGAGGAATCGAACCCAGGGCCTCATGCATGCAAGGCAAGTGCTCTACCACCGAGCCACCTTCCCAGCCCCAGAGGGAAATTTAAATTTAAATCACAACATACACACACACACACACCTTACCATTTCAGTGGTATGTTCAGAATTGTTTCTCAATCCTGGCTGACTTTGGAATCCTCTGGAAAAGCCTTTAAAAACTTCACTGCCTGAGTTGTACTTATCATCTATATAATCAGGCCTACTGAGAACAGTATGCAGACACTGACATTTTGTCAGAAGCTCACTATGGGAAATCAACTGGGATGTCCATTGCCAATGGTAAAAAAAACAACAACAACGTGATATAACATTATGCAGCCACTTAAAAAAAAGAAGAATGCGGTGTCAGTGGCATATACTCAACAGGTTGAGATCTGAAAATCATGTTTCAAAGCCAGTTGGGGCTGGAAAGTCTATGATACTCTTATCTCCAATTAACAACCAAAATGCTGGAAGTGGAATTGTGGCTCAAATGGTAGAGCAGTAGGCTTGAGCCAAAATGCTAAGTAAGACCCTGAGACCTTGAGGACAAGTCCTAGTCCAACACAAACAAATGGGAAGAAAGGAAGGAAGGAAAGGAAAGAGAATGAAAGACAAGAAAAAGAAAACACTTTTGAACTATTATCATCTCAGGCCTGTAATCTTGGCTATTCAGGAGGCTGAGATCTGGAGGGGAGAGGTTTAAAGCCAGCTTAGACAGAAAAGTCCATGAGATTCCATCTTCAAATAACCAGCAAAAAGTAAGGGTTGGATGCATGGCTCAAGTGGTAGAGCATCAGCTGAACACGCAAGCTGAGCTAGTGAGAATACCAGCAAAAAAGAAAACACTTTCACTTAGATTTTAAAAGTATTACTTTGTTTTATTTGAGGGAGGACATTCACTTCAGCTGTAATCATTTTAGCTAAAACATTCACCAATTTCATTGCTGTACTTCCAAATTCCTAGAGTCTTTCTTAGTTCAAGAATTACTGCTCCAGGGGCTGGGAAGGTGGCTCAGTGGTAGAGCACTTGCCTTGCATGCATGAGGCCCTGGGTTCGATTCCTCAGCACCACATAAAATAAAAATATAAAAAAATAAAAAAATTACTGCTCCAGCTTTGGCTAAGTCACTTGATTAAAGAACCATTTTTTTAAACAAACTCTTTCTTTCTTTCCTTCTTTTTTGGGGTCCGGTCGTGGGGCCGGAACTCTGGGCCTGGGCACTGTCCCTCAGCTCTTCAGCTCAAGGCTAGCGCTCTACCACTTGAGCCACAGTGCCACTTCCGGCTTTTTTCTTTTTGCTTATGTGGTACTGAGGAATAGAACCCAGGGCCTCATGCATGCAAGGCAAGCACTCTACCACTGAGCCACCTTCCCAGCCCTCTTTCTTTTTTTGAACTAGTTGGTAGAGTATTTTTATTCATATTTTGGGTGTGTTAAGTGAACCCACTCTGCTCAGATTCTCTGAGAATTACGAGCGTTTTCATTTCTTTCTAAAATTAACCTGTTTATTCTCATGAGCATTTCATCTGAAGAAGCATGGTGAAGTGAATATGGTGACACATGCTTATAATCTTAACTACTGGACAGGAAAAGAGAGGGCCAGTTTGAGGCTGTCGCAGACAAAAGTTAGTGAAAGCCTATCTCAAAAATAAGCTGTGAGAAATGGATCGCTGTAATCCCAGTTGTACAGGAAAGAGAGCTGAGGAGAGCATGGTCAAATGGTAAATGTTTTCCTAGCATGGTCAAAGCCCTGAATTCAATCCTCAGTACAACTACCAGAAGAAAAGGAGAGAAAAGAAAACAAGCAAACAAAAAAGGATAAGAGAAACTGAATGTATGTTTTCTCTGTTCAACCCCTCTTTTCTCTGCAGTGTAGTATTAAGAATTGAACCAGGGACTACTACTTAAGCTATGTTTCTAGTTCTATTTTATTTTACTGCACCCCTCCCTCCTTCCCTCCCTCCCTCCCTCCCTCCCTCCCTCCCTCCCTTCCTTCCTTCCTTCCTTCCTTCCTTCCTTCCTTCCTTCCTTCCTTCCTTCCTTCCTTTGAATTTGAGATCTTCCTATCTCTGCTTCCAGATTAGCTTGGATTATAGGTAGGAGTCACTACATTTGGCTTCTTTTCAATTCTTAGCCCAATGACTGTCAAATGCAACATACATGTAAAGCACCAGGAAGTTTGTTCAAAACCATTGCTGCCTGGGCCTAATCCCACATAAATCCAGTCTGCCTCCATCCTTCCCCTTAGCCTGTACAAAGAGAGCATGAGCTAAAGTTTGTATCAAAATAGTAGCTGGAAAAGGGAGGGACAGTGTGAGTTAGCTGTTCCTGATTGTGACTCAACACTTGATAAAAATCAACTTGAGGGATGAGCAATTTGTGTTGTGATTTTAGAGATTTCAATCCCCAGTCACAGTAGACTCCTTATGGAGGTGAACACGTGGCACCAGGTTTGCTTATCTCACAATGGCTGCTGGCTGTTAGGTTTTTAAAGAAGAGGCCGAGTAAGAACAGCACCACACACGTGGCATTTGGGTAAGGGGAAGGTTTATTCATCGTTCCTATATTCATCGTTCCCGACTGGTACCAGGCCATGTTAACACTCCATGTGGCTGGAAAGGCCTGGGAAAGAGGCATCTGGCTCTGGGCTAGGCCTTATCTAGGGTAGGGGTGAGGAAAGATGTGGCCACATTGAATCCAAATGTGACATCTTCCAGGTGTGCCAGTTGCCTGGGTAACGCAGGAACTAGGTAGAGACTTTGCTGCAAGGAAGCTGGAGTCTGCTCACCATCCAGGAGCGGATCTTACATTCCAGCCTTTTAATAATCATGAAATAAGGCATGGATTCTCTCTGGCTACTTTCTGCTGACAAGGGAGCATTGACATTAGGGGTAAAAGGCTGGAATATAGTCCCCTCCCAGAGAAGGCAGAGAGCAGCAGCTGTCCCTTGGTAGGCGTGAGCCTTTAGATGAAGTCTGAAGGAGGCAAGTATCTTGGATGAAGTCTGGAGAAAGTCTCATGAAGCATTAAGGGGCTGAAAAAAAAAAACACTAGAGAGCAAATAAATGGCAAGAGGAAGGACTTGGGGCTGAAAATTAAAAATTAGATGACTTGGCTAGAATGGCTAGTTCTTATCTCCTGCATTCCTGGCTGTCCTGGAATTGGTAGAAAAATCCCTAGCTACTTCTGACATCTGGCGACTAGGTAGGGGAGAATGTCAAGTAACAAAGGCAAAAATGTAAATTCCTGTCCAGTTAAAAGGTATACAGGTTGGACAGTAGATAGGCAAGCTTCTTTCTTCTATTGACCTCCTGGCTCTGATTAATTTTGGAATGGCAGGCACAAAGTGGCTGATGTCACATCATCCCCTCTTACTCCTCTCCATGGTCCCTTGTTCCCCAGACTGGCTGAATCATGGGGGGTCTAGGTGCTTGTTTCTGGGATGGCTTGTCCCAGTTGGCATGCACAGGCTTTGAACTCAAGGCCTGGGCACTGTCCCTGAGCACTTCTGCTCAAGGCTAGTGCTCGACCACTTTGAGTTACAGTGCCACTTCCAGTGTTTGTTGGTTAATTAGAGATAAGAGTCTTGAGCCAGCTTCCAGCCTGGCTCTTTGCAGGTTAGTTGGGAGATGGAGTGTTAGGGACTTTTCAGCCCGGGCTGGCTTTTAACTGCAATCTTTGCCATAAAACCTTTATAATTTCCAATTAAAGCAACAAGGAGATCAAATAGAGTAAGTAGAGCTTATTACCTGCTCCTTATCAGGAATTGACCAACAAATATTCTGCAATGACAAAACTCGTTAGATGTGATGAGAATTTTAGCACAGATGTGCCCAATATTTTAGAACCATGTAGTCAGTAGTAGAATACACAACACCAAACAAAAAATGCAAAACTCAAAACCTAAAATTTTTGAGAACAATGTTTAGGCATCTTTGGTAACAAAGCACATCAGATGGTTGGGCCTCAGTTACCAGGCCCTGTGAAAAGAGCAACTTGTTAGCAAGGCACATTTAGAATAAATGGGTGGATGGAGTAGTAAGCTTGGTAGAAGGGTAAGGGTAGATGGGGTCAAACCTTTAACCCACCATGTGGCCAACATGGCAAACTCAAGATGGTGAATTTCTAAAAAAAAATGCAAAGAAAGCCTGAACAAATAGATCGAGCCTAGATTGGCTCACCTTTTTGAGAGGGAGCCTAGAAGGGGGTCCCCAGGACCCAGCCTTCATCACACTCTTCAGGCACAAGCCAAAGAGTTGTAGAAAAGAGAAAAGGAGAGAAAGTTGGACATGATTAGCAGAGAGAGCAAAGAGAGCCT